CTTCCGCTTCAGAGTCTCCTTCTTCGGGAAGGAGTTTTGGAGGATGCTTCAGATCCGTGACGAAGTGAAATGAGACTTGCCGACTGATCTCTGGGACGCACCGATGCAACATTTCCAAGATCCCGCGTCCCACGTCAGCTTCCACGTCCGGTGTGAAGACCGCAACAGAGATCGGCCCCTCCCACACTCGACTCAAGTCGACCACCTGGTAGAGCCGCTCCATGGTGACCTGGGTCGCGAGACACACTTGGCTCGACCTCGAGACCCCGTCCCACTCCGTCCCAGTCGAGACGAAAGGGTGAACGGCGAACTTGCCCGACTTGTGGCGGATTCCCCGCTCCGGGTGAAAGTCGAAGCCACCGATCGTCGGCGGGGCGGGCCATTCCGACTTCTCACTCAGCAGGTTCCGCACGTTCACCTGGTCCGGCTCGCGATACTGAACCTGGGACCGAGTGGCACCGTTCAGGATCGCGCCCAGGAAGCCCACAACGAGCAGCGACACCGCGGTCACTGCTGTCCGATAGTGACACAATCCGAACCGTCTCATGCTGGAACCTGCACTCACTGAAAAGAGATAGGAAACGAGAAAGACGTAAGTACATGAAGGGTCGCGTGCATCCCTTGGATTGCAGACTTCATCCTCACCCAATCGCAAAGGGGCTTCTGACGAAGAGCCGTATGGCGTATGGAGGCATTCCCCACGTTCCCTCCCTATCTACTCTCCTCTAGCCTGTGTGCCCTATCGTGCTTTTGAGATAAACGATGTAAGAACATGAAAGAACTCTCGATAGCGTACATCCTGTTCTGGTAGGTACAATCTCTACTCGAGATACGCGTGCGTCACTCGACTGGGAGTCCATCCGGATTCACGTCGCGGGCGTCGTGGAAGGCAGTGGTTCCCAACCGTTTTTCATTAGCGGCACACTTAAGAACATTTAAATTTTCCCTGGCACGCTAAACCATTCAATTACTTTCAATGGGAAACTTGGGCTTGCTTTGCTCAACACAGTAATTTGATATGAGTAAAGATTGTTGATAGAGCGGCTCATTTTCCCCTGAGAGGAGACGTTTCCTCTTGGTGTTCTTGTTTGTCGTCAGAGTCGGAAAGCTCAGCTGGGTGTTTCTTTGAAAGCTGAAGCACATCCTAAAGGAAAGTTGATGCAGATCCTGGGGTGAAGACGATCGGAGTCCCCCCCTCCCCCGGCCTGGTTCACTGTTTTTTTTTTGTTTGTGTCAACTCTCAAAACTCACGGCAAACCTAGACCGTATTCGTGGCACACCGGTTTGCCGCGACAGGTCATTTGGGAACCAATACCCAAGCAGCATGTTTATGTTAATTTAACGTAAACTGAATGTACATTTTTTGTCCATTTTATATTTATTTTACGCAAACCATCATCAAGATAATGTCAACATGTTTCCAGAAATGTCACCTCTGGAATACGTAAATGGTGATATAAAGTTTACGTAAACTTTACGTAAAATTGATATTCCCGTTTACATCCCCAACACCATTTTTACATCCATTTTACGTAAAATTAATGTTGATTTCCCCATAATATTCATGCGTATTTAACGAGCTACTTCGTACTTTTGAAGAGCATTGATTCACTGTATTTCTCCCATTCCTTTCCATACTTTGGTACTCAAGGTTACTTGGACGAGTAGACAAGTACTCATCATCACCGGCACTCAAGATTACCAAGAGGACTCACTAGTTCCTCCTCCCGTAACAGGACCGCGGGAGGAGGAATAGATGTTTAGAGGAGGTCTCTTCCATAAAAGATAGAGGTGGCTTAGTACTTGTGGAACTGTGATTCTACTCTTCCCTAATCCAATGCACTGCTGTAATAACAAGCTTACCTTCAGCATTTAATGATTCCCTGAGTCATGTATTATTATAAATATGTAATAATTTCCTAATTTCCATATATATATTCATGGATTGCATAATAAAAAGTAGAAGGATGCTAAGAAAACCTGATACTATATCAGGAAAACCAGTACTTAATAGTAATTGAAGGATGCAGGGAACAAGGGTTCCATCTAGTGAGGAATCTTGGTACTGCAGCAACAGGATGGTCAGCTAAAGTTTCATGTGGATGGTGTGGTGTTAATTTTTCATGAACTTTAGTGACGTCTAGTTGATGTAAAATACACGTACACTTTGGTGACGTACATATAGGAACGTAAATTTTACGTAAACATGATGCCATTTTCATGGTAATCGCAAGAAATTTACATTGTTTGCAAAAAATTGATATCACGTTTACGTAAACATGCTCCTTGGGTAATGTAGGGGAGGCCTTCGGCTTTGTCTTCATCTGCGTCAACCAACTGCAGCTCCATTGTTTGAAGAATTACTTATCACGCTTCTAGGAGGGGGAATGAGGGGGGAAGGGAGGCCATTTGCTCGGGGGATACCCAGTAGCAGAAGAGGAAATTCTCCATCTGCCGAGTTTATTTCGGTACTGGTATATGTCCATATGTCAGCTGAACACTTCAAGAGGCTGGCAGCGAGCTTGAAATCATGGAAAATCTTAGGAAAACAATTTTTGCAGTAAAGTGAAATTCTGCAGGCCTTTCTAATTTTTGAGATTTTGCACTTACATGCTGAACGATTTTGGTGGAATTATTTTGTCCCTTTAAACTGAAAGTGAAAATGAGGAAGAAACCAGACACGGGGAAAGGGAAAGAAAGAGGCGGAGTCGTTGAAGCCTCTGGAAGCATGTGATATGTTGGAGATATCCATGAAATAGTGGCAGATGCAAATGATGAATGCGTTAATTATGGATCGCTGCTGAGTGATTGGTGAATGAAACGTGTCCTGAATATTCACATTTTCATTGCTCTTCTTCAAGAAAGAGTTTATTTCAAATCTATGGGTGCATTTATTGATTAATTATTACTTTCAACTGGAAAGGAGTGGTGAAAGACTCGTTGGGAAAAGTTTCAGCAGTGCGGATATGGAAAAGGGGCGTGCATAAACACTTTCTGCCTGCATCCCAGCAATGTGAGATAAAGAAATTCATTAAAACCCCAAGTTCAATTAGGAAAAGGACTAACATACCAATTTACCGATAATTGAGTTTTGACCAGCTTCAGATTTGCTGAGAAGTTTTATCGCTTAATTCGAATTGGATCTTTTGCACATAGGCCCTTTCTCTGGAGAACTCCTCAATTTGGTAACGTTAGAAAGGTTGTAGCAGGAACTTTTCAATGATGTACCGTAGGTTGGGATTCCTGGAGCGGAAAGTGCAGGTATCGGTCATTGAAATCGGTCAGACTGTTCGAACGAATGGAATTTTTGACACAACTGGCGCACAAAAATTCGTATCACGTCGAGCCATTGAGTGCCAATCTCGAATTTTTCTATCTTCAGAACCCAACTAACCACGGGTGATCCAAAATTCTTCCATGGACAGTCCAGTTGTCCAGAGATGGGTATAACGTCCAGAGGCGGTCGTCCGTTGGATGCACTTAGGATGCCGTCACCATGGATCGATATCTTCTCATGCATTCTCAGCTTTATCAGAGCAGAATTACCCAAATTCGAGCACTCATTTATTTCCATTTTATTGAAGAAGGTTTTATGGAATGGCGTTACGAGCATCTGATCATAAAATTTTTATCTTATTTTATTTTCAAATCTCCCATTTTAGGTCGAAACCCAGTAACTTCAATCATTATATATTGATAGATAGTGTGACACAATTGGACCAGTGCATGATTTCATTTAGAGTTCGACATTATGAACGAAACAAGGCGTCAGTCAATCTTTGGACATTCAGAAAAGGAACTTTCAAAGACAACTGCTCGCGGTCTAGCATTGGATGTCCTTGGATGGAGTACCCCCACCGTTGAGGCCTTCCATCTGGCCTGACATTTAGCCGTTCATTCAATAAATATACAGGGTGGCGCAAAAAAAAACCGGTCCACTTTTAAATTGGTCTAGAACAGGAACTATGGAAGCTTACCCTTACATGCGCTTACGCTTACACTTACTTACAGCTTACACTTACCCTGTTTCCAATTGTTTCTTTACTCATTGTTGGGTGAAACAATTGGACTAAAAGTAGGACAGGTTAAGAAAGTGATGATAAAGGCTTACAGTGAACCGTTTGCTCCCACATTGCTGGTTCCCTCCTCCATCATTCTTGCTGCATTGCATGCCTGCAATGACCATGCATGAGACAATGAGGCTGACAAGTCGCGTTAGGCATGCAACCTGCACCGAGGAACATTCACGGTGCTAATTTTTCGTTATCTGTTTCCACAATTTTTTTTGAGAGAGGAGAGAGAGACTGCAAGCAGTGGTGGACCAGAAAGGAGGATACATTGAACATTTCTTGAATAAATAAAGGTTAGTTGAGGTGAAACAATCATTTCCCCATCATTTTACTACTTTTTTTGGGGTATGATTTTTTCAATTGGTCATGACAACCATTTCATGGCACCCATGGACTCAAAACCAAACATCTTTGGAAAGGGCTTCAATTGAACTTTCATTTGCTTTTTTTTTTAACCTGCTAGCTTCAATAGTTCCTGTTCTAGACCAGTTTAAAAAGTGGACCGTTTTTTTTTACGCCACCCTGTATAGCTTCGGTATGATAAGTGAGGTCGGGCTCATCCCGTCGCTAAACGTCTCCCGATTCCTTAAATGCAAACGAATTGTTCTGCAGAAGCTTTCATCCTCTATTCGATAATCTTCCACGTACAAGTCGAAGGAAGGAAGGAAGGAAGTCATTCTTATTACTGCATTTGTTGAGAGACGTAACGTAGCTCAAGGAGACACCCGGCAATTCTTACACATTACATGGAGTGTGGTTCCCCTACTCCAGTAAGTCTATTCTTTGCTCGTGCGGGCCACGTCGTCTCTGGCAATGGGGAAAACAAGCTCTTGAATGAGAGATTAGGATTGAAAGTCGAGAGTATCGTCTCAGTAATGCTCAATGGAAAAAAAAATCAATCTGTACTCAGTCCCTACTATTTCTCAGCTGAATCATGAACAAGATATCACACGGCCCCAACAATGTGACAGGTCTGCGTCCCGCACTCACTCAAAGTAAAACTCCAGAACACACTGGATCCGGTATAATAATAATAATAGTGATAATTAATAGACGGAAGTTACACGTCACTTCGGCTTCCCGTACGTCACCCGGACCTTCGAAAGCATTTTGGCATGTTTGACGAAATTCTTCGGATCTTTCTTGTACTTGATCTTGAGTTCTTCTGCGAAACCACGCATGAGCTTCATGTTGTCCTGGTGCTGCTTCGCCCTCCAACCCGGCCGACTGCTGATCGTCTGGAAGCCCCGGTGGGACGTGAAGGCGTTGTTCAGCACCAGGAACTGGTAGTCCGCCACGTACATCTCGTATGCCTAAAGAGTAAGAGGAAAGGTGAGACATCCGGCGTGATGCTCCCTAAATGCTTCTTACAGCGACGCGCGATGTGAAAAAGAGACGGACAAAGGGGTTCAAAATTGTTGCGGGAATTCTGTCAGCCCGTTACTACTAAACGGAAATTCACAAGGAGGCGCCACTCTCGGTTTCCAGAGCGTCGATCTCCACACCCTCACCAATGGTCGTGAACTTGGGGTAATGACAGAGAGAAATGATAATGAGCACAGGTACAGATCTGCCATTCTGAAGGTCATTATACCCATGTGAAATTATCTCCCTTCTCTGCATACTAACCATCTAAATTTATAAATAAAAGCTCTCATTTTCGTAAGTCGTATGCCTATGGTAATGTCCCGGACAACTCGACAACGTTCTAGATGGTTTACCCGACCTCTTCGCGTGGAGATGGGAGGAGAGTGAAACGTTTAGGATGACAGATGCGGCATTTCGCGAATACGACTGAAAACCTCTACTGCTTGAGAAGCCGCTCTCTCAAATGTCTCCCTATAGATCCTTCATCCGCGAGGACATGAAGGGGAGTGAAGGCTTCAGTTGTTTACCGGAATCATGGGCTGAAGGTCGCACAAGCGCACTGAGTCGAGTTGTCCGGTTGCTATGGAAACTGGAAGAACAGGATGAGGAAAAAAAAAAGCTGAGAAACCGATCTCAGGATCTGCCATATCCTCATTGTACCTATGGTAATGGCAGATGATAAAAGAAGGACTGACTAATTTCAATATCTGCCATTTTTCCATGACCAGTATGGGAATCGTAGATAGGATCGTGGATCGAGTTTTTATTTCATGATTTCGAACTTCTAGCTGGTGTCACACGCTGCAGTATAAGGGAGCAGCGATCTTCTCGGATCAAGAGAGAAGTCCGGCGGTAACAACACGTCTGCTGCTCGCTCACCCAGTGAAAACGGACCGATTGTCACCATGAGATAAAATCCAAGTTCCCAGGAAGCTCGTGAATTTTCTGACATTTCTGAATGATTGACATTTCTGATTTTCGATAGGCCATTTCTTACGATAATGCTCTCGTTCAGAACCCGTATGAAGGGCAATCTCTCGCCTGTGGATCCGTTAGTGCTTGTCCAGTATCCGGGAATCTGGAATATCTTCACTAAAAGCAGCTGCACAAAATACAGTGATCTCTCAATAACTTCGAGGGAAATTCGACTTAACGAAAATTCGAGTTATAGAGGTATTTTTATTCTCTGCCCTACAACATTGTAGAAACTTCACAAAACACGAACCTTGCAACACTTAAACATTTTTGCATAATCACTTGAAAAAATCAGTCAGGTGAGTTTGGCTTGTTTTCGCGGCACCCTCGTGTTCGACGATATTTTCCGACTTCGCGATTGCGTCGAAGGTCTCTTGCGTCAGGAACAGATTCGGGCCTCAAAACAAATCTCCGTTAAAATCTCAATAGCATGAGGTTGTAGCCGTGGTTGATAGCGAGGTTCACGCACACCGACTGGCAGACACCAGGGTGCGATACCGATGAGGTGGAGGCGCAAGCACCCGGCGCCTCGCCGCAGCCTCCACTTCCCCAATAGATCAGGGTGGGAACCCGAAGACGCGAATGTCGCATTCTTGAGTTAACCGAGTCTGGAGAGAGGTTAGTTATGTTGATGGGTCTTTCGGTACAAACTCAACCGATATAATATAATATGGCGCCCGACCATTTAGGGATTTATCCACCCAGGCATTTAGGGATAATTAAAAAAAAAAACTCCAAGCGACTGCAGTCAATCTAACCTCAAAGGAAAAGAGTACCTTCTCCATCGGATCCGTGGTTAGCACGATTATATATAACTTACATGTAACATCGATTTCCTCAAAACAACTTATAGAGCTCCGGAAAACTTTTCCAGCGACACATCACACAACGATATACAGCCACTTAAAAAATGGGATTTATTGGAATATGCCAGTTTTGATTTTAAAAAAATTTTATTCACGAAAGTGGCTCAGAAAATCATATATCGTTTGAAAGATCTTGAGTTCCCCTTTCAAACGAAACCATTTTTGATATCATAGGCGCTCCAGCATATTGAAAAATACTGTTGACTGACGATGCCCAAAAATCAGAAAATTCCAACTTTGAGGTGAAACTTTCTCTAACAAAAATGTAAAAGGGAACTTGCTTTATCGATGCATCTCAGAGAGGAACAAAATAAACCGTAATGAAAGATTTTCCCTTTCCCTCGCATCATGGGGATGTTGCTGGGGTGAAAATTGCCTTCATGTCACGTTTTTCAAACGCAACTGTGGTGCCGAAATCTCATTGAAACTCCAATGAGAGAAATTTTCAGCTATGAAAGATCTCCGGCTGAAGCCATTCCACGCCCTGGTACGATGGAAAGTTCCTGGGATGGAAATTCAGATGGGGGTTTTCCGTTTTTTCCCCAAAGTTCGGGGGTGATATCTCGCTAATCGGAGATCCGATTAAGTCGATTCCTTTTTCTCCTGGGATGTTATATTGACTGCAATCGCATGGCATTTTTTTAAATTATCCCTAAATCCGAGATAGTCGAGCGCACTGTTTGGTTGAGTTCGTATGGAATGACCTTGATGTAATGTTCGTCCGGGTATAGGAAAGATATGAACAGTACCGGAATTAATTTAGAGATGTCAAGAAATTTGTCTTGCAGTCGGAGTTTAAATGGGGGTGATGCATTTTTCTTATGAGAATTTTGAAGTGAAACGCAGTAACTTCCAGTTAGAAAGAAATTTGTGTTAAGCGGATCAAGTTATCGAAAGTTGACTATTTTCTTCCGTGCACCAAAAGACCTACAATATACTTACAAGAAGAGACACCTGTTCGATAGATTGCAGAGAAGTTATAGAAGTCGCGAAACTTTGTACTAGATATATGAGACTGCACCGAAACTGGATTGACTCTGAGATTCGAATGTTGGCTTCTCCAATTGGCAGGACTCCTAGAAAGGCTGCAAGAATGAAAAAGAAGGGACTCACCTGAGTGTATCGGGTGCAGCCGTAGCCGAGGAAGCGTTCGTCGAAGGGGGGAATGTCGGCACGGGCCACGTAGACGGGCTCGTAGCCGATCTGATATTTGGTGACGTTGTAGGCCACCTCGAGGTCGGGGGACTCGGGGATGGACGCCCATCTCCGCAAGTCCGAGGATTGCGAGTTCCTCACGGCCACCTTCACGTGGAACGGCTGTGCAAGTTTCTTCTTCACCAGCCGTAACAACTCCGTTTTGTTCCGAGGCAGCACGGTGACGCTGTCGTGGATCTCGTAGGTAGGGATGACGTACACGCACTTGGTGCTCTCGTTTCCCTGGGATTCGAGGAAGCCATCCAGGGACTCCTTCAAGCCGGGCATGGGGACCATGTCCACGTCGATGAGGAACGTGAAAGGGGTGTTGCAGGACGACCGGGCCACGTTCCTCATCAGATTCTGAGGGTATTTCAGGGGGACCCGCCACTCCATCATACCAGGAGACCTCTTTGCTAGCAGAGATTCGATCTCCGGTTCCAAGTTCGAGCAGAGGTACTCGTCATATTTCACTTCGGAGTCCCCTTCTTCGGGAAGAAGTTTTGGGGGATGCTCCAGATCCGTGACGAAGTGGAAGGAAACTTGCCGACGGATCTCCGGGACGCACCGACGCAGCATCTCCACGATTCTGCGTCCCACGTCAGCCTCCACATCCGGCGTGAAGACGGCCGTTGAGATCGGTCCCTTCCACACTCGACTCACGTCAACCAGCTGATAGAGTCTCTCCATGGTGACGTGAGTCGCGGCACACACTCGGCTCGTCATCGATGACACGTCCCACTCCGTGCCCGTCCTGACGAAAGGGTGAACGGCGAACTTGCCCCACTTGTCGCGGATGCCTCGTTCCGGATGAAAATCGAACGTGCCGTTCGTCTTGTGGTTCGTCAACAGTTTTCGCACGTTCACTTGACTCGGCTCGCAACACTGGACCTGGGACCGAGTGGCACGGTTCAGGAGGAAGCCCACAGCGAGCAAGGATACGATGATTGCCGCTCTCCGGATGCGGCTAAAGCCGATCCTCCTCATGCTCGAACTCGCACGAACAGAAAGGGTCTGTATGTGATTTATGGCAATATGAGTGCGTTCCCTGAAGGTGCACGAAGAGGAGAATGCAGGGTCGGAGAAGATTTATCCTCGTCGAAGCGGCAAGGAGGAACTGATTGAGCTTCTCGCTTAGTCGGTAGCCTGCTCAGTAAGTTACCCGCTCGGGTCCTTGGTTCAATCCAAATCAGGCCTCTAGTCTCACTGCTGTATCGAGGCCGATATCAAACTAGATAAGCACATAGCTTTTTTACCGCGTGTATCATGTGTCGAAAGTTGTTCCTTTGTATGACGCACTTTGAATGTGTCGAAAGGTGCATTCCCAGAGGCTCTGAAGTATCAATAGTTGAAGTGTGTTGCATCAACACACCAAAGGCTTTGTGTAAAATTAGAGCCACAGAGTGAGGTATCACAGGGATTACTTTGCAACCGGGTCACCATGCTACCTAAGCACACGTAGTTTACAGGCGTGGTGTCCTAAGTGTCATCAGGCAGAAACACCTGGGCTAGGCCTGGTGCCTCATCTGATTTTCAGCTGCATTCCCGGACCTATCGGCGACGCCTAGCCCAAGAGTCGAGAATGAAGGAACCTGGAAATCGAAGAGGACGAGTAGTAATCGATGAGTAGTTTACTGGCAAGTATCGCACGCCTAGGACTTGCTATGAAGCGAACTACATCAAGAATCGTGCTCAGGGTCAGTTGCACAAGGTCACAAGTCCCAACACTACATGGAATAAAACACCGCACGAACGTCCGCACTTGACAGAGATGAATAGTGACAGCATCTCTGGAGTCAGTCACGTAGTGCTACCATTTAGAACGAATTTAGACGCCCTGGCATTGTGTAGTTCCTATACTGTATATGGTTTATTTTAGATTGCCGTTAGAAATGCGATGAATTCGCTACCTACCTTCGCTACAAGAAGAACACATAGTAGTTGGGAGTTATTTTTCATGTAATACCTTTGAATTAAAAAAAAAGGGGAAAGTCGAAAAGTGGACTGCAGGCTTGGGAGTGCGCATGAAGTCATTTCCCCTCAGGGCTTTTTTTTCCCCTCTCGGAACTTCTAAGGTTGAAATCGCGTCAAATCGACAGACCACTATCACTTGCCCAAAATTTCGACAAGCTTCTGGCCCGGAGGAGTCCATTTGGTCTCCATGAAGCTCTTCTATGAGTCCAAAATATGTCAAACGCATTTTTGCCCGAAAAAAAAAAACCAACGAGAAGTGGGTCCAAATGACCAAGCAAGTATCAATACAAAATGTGTCACTTCGACACACTATAAGTTTTGTGCGTACACACCCCCATGAAACACACATCCTTTTCTGGGTGGTAGGCTGATCTCGTGATTCTTGCCGCGATTCGTCTCGGCCCTCGAACGTTAAACTTTAGGCGTTTTCGCCCCCCCCCCCCCCGACAAGAAGATCGCATCCCTTCCTAACTTTTTTTTAATACAAACGAACCTACGCGTCAGCGACGTTCCTCTGGGTGGCTCGTGTCACCGGCGCTGAATTCGGGTCGAGACGGGACGACTGAGATGGTTTTTCTCCATTTGCAGATGCCATTAACAAGGTTCTGCTTCTTTATTCCGTCTTGGCGCGAGATTTTGGAGTTGTTCCATCGGGAGTCATATTTAATGCATTTATTGGATGAGATGAAACAATAAACAAGACCGTCGACGACCGCAGGATTTTAGTACAAGGGAGATAGGTGAGAACCCTTATTCGTTATTCATTTCCTATTTTTGCCGAAAAGGAATGAATTCTTCCTTTGGAAAATTCTTCGTCAGTCCCGTCCTGGGACAGCACTCCAGATTTAAGACCTAAGAAAAAACGTATCCATGAGAACGCAATGCCAGGACATCTCAAGTTGCGAGAACGTTCCCCATCTCGAAAACGCCGATACGGCCCCTCACGGACGCCCAGTCATCTCGACGTCTCCCCGGAACTCGAGCAAAAATGATACGATTCATAAACTCTTGATGTTGGTCAAATTCAAGGTATCGAGATGATTGTCTTTTTTTTTTCTTCAAAACTTCTCTTTGAGCTATGCATTGTTCCGTTACAAAGTTTACAGATGGATCATTACACCTCGAGTGCAGTAATGGTCCACGCTCATTCATCCCAAATTTGAATTTTAAAAATTAGTTTGCCCGGTTTCGATCCATTGTGACCATATTAAAAAATTTTTAATTGGCTTCGAGACCATATCTTTTGAAAGGGCGCTCGATGCAACTGATACTTGACAGAGAGGCTCATGGACCTGTAAGGCTTTTTAGGAAAACAAAAATACACCAATATATCAATATATTAATTAGGTTCTCGACTACCAAAAGTCGAAACTGCCCAAACATTTTAATAAAAAAGAGTCTAAGTAATCACGAAACCTGCCCTAAATTATTTGGCGTATCATTTTGACCTGAACCCTGATTCATTCATATCATTTAATGACACGATCTCGAAAATCGACCAAACGGTATATTTTATTTACCTCAGTTCAAACAAAAACTGCAATCACAGCAAATAAGGAACAATGCACAAATAAGGAACCAAATCAGACCGTAACTTAACCCAAACATAACCTAACATTCTCAATTTGCTCGGATTTGAAAAAAAAATCACATCCTTATATTTGACCAAAGGCGCTCTCTAGAAATATGCACATATTTTTAGCATCGGTTTAAAGGCCAAACTGGGCAACATCCTTTAGTATCTGGAGGTTAAAAGCCATTTTGTGACCCCCACCCCCCAACCCCGAACGCGATCAAATTAAAATTCACTTTTCTTGGCCTTCGAAGTACAGACATGTTTTTCTCCCCAAATAATCCGACCGTTTGGCAAATTTAATTGAATTCTGAGATAGTTACGCACTGGTCACTTTTTTTTTCTCTCCCTTGGGTAGCCACTCCTGGGGGGGTTTTCGGAAGAGAGAGACCAACCGTAAGAATTATATTGACTTGTAGATGACATGACGTAACCTTTTGGTTGTTTGCGATGCATCAGTTCACAAAAAAAGCGAAATTAACTATAGTTCATTTAGGCTTAGTGTGCTGGCTTCAGTGTCCAGTGTTGCCGGATGTCGCGCTGGAGTTCTGTCAGATTCATGACTTCTTCCGCCTTCGGATCGGTGTCAGAATCCCCTGTTTGTCGATGAATTAAACATTTTTGTACAGAGTTCGTGCAATGAGCTGAGATTGAAACTGCGGTTAACAGTGGCCGATCGATGTGATGGGATCACTGAGCTAAGAAATAGAACTGGAGATGGCGTACAATACAATGGATTTGGGGCAATTGGAAGCCATCTTAGTTGGGTCTGTGGTGGCTCTTCTCCATTCACAACAATGGGATTTTCATAATTTCCCATCCCAGTTTTCTTGCTGTCGTGATCATGATGGCCGGAAGTCATGGTACTGTTGGCCTAATAATTCTGGGAGAGTATCATAGGGCTGATAACGTCATGTCGGAACTCTTCTTTCATGTGGGCGAGTCTCCTATTTCTCGAGTGGGCCTCCAAGTTCCAGGCCTGCCTTTGCTCTGATTCCTGGGCCTACGAAGGCGATAACGTTACGCCGCCCTTGCATCATCACAGTCAACTTATTTTACAGAAGTCTAAGGCATAAAGTCGAAAGAACTTCGAGTGAAATTATAGGAAATTAGATAGGCTAAAGGAAACGAAGGGCGACCACGAGGTGCATGGTAGAGGTGTTGGCGGGTATTGGCAGGGCATGCTTCCATATTCAGAAGGGCTGCTCCAGTGTTCCGGTGGTACCTGCTCCATTACTCGGCCAATGCTCACCGCAGGTCCGCTTTAGCCTAGACCCAACCAATATGGCTTCAAAATGCACCCGTTTTCCTATGCTACTCCTATGGCCGCGCCATCTCCAGTTCTATTTCTTAGCTCAGTGTTCCTACCCGACCCGAAATTCGATCGCCAGACCGAGCTTGCGGACCCCACCTGCGGTTCGTGTCGAGTGGATCGGGCCGGCCAGCAGCCCGCTTAGGCCTCTATGCTTCAGAACTCGGAGTCTCGGGTTCGTCCTTTTTCTAACAGGCTTCGCTGCCTCTGCTGACGCTTCCAGCTGTCACATGACGTCACGTTCGTGCGGGGCTGTTCAGAGCTCTCATAGTTCGCGACGTTCCGCTGCCTGCTGCTTGCCTGGGAGTGACGTCATTTAATAACGTGAACGCGTCGAGCGCTGACGGAAATGAGGCGTGTCTTTTTTGCCAGCGGCTTGGCTAGCTCTGCTGAGGCCCCCAGCATCCGATGACGTCATTTTAAAGCTTAGCTGCTCATACTTAGCTTAGCGTTCTCATACTTCTCTATGTTCCGCTCGCAGCCACTTGCCCAATAGTGACGTCATTCAATGACGTCGTCGTGCCTAGCCAACGCGTCTTTTTCGACAGCAGCTTTAAGCGGCTGGAGAAAAAGATCCCTCTGATAGTGCATTCGCCTGCACCCAACAGGACTCTTGATTGCCTACCGAGCTGCCGGCCCGATCCGCGGGTCGGGTTCGACGACGTATATCACTCGAATGCTATGAGGCGGCACTCCCTGAATATTTGTATGCATGCAATCGGATGGATCATTTCCAGTAATAAAAAAGTGATCACTTCTTGCCACCCTTCTCAATTTCTTCGACATTTCCCTTGCAAACCGTTCAGACTCCTGATGGTTGTCCCCTTTCGAAGGAGTTCCACGCAATGGAGGGATGTCTCACCGGGTCCATGCCCACCGAAAAGGGAGACATCCATTATAATATTATGGCGTTTTCTATATTTGAAAAACGATGCCAGATCGATCTGTTTCCTTTTCTGACCAAAGCACCAAGCGATGCCCGGATTTTCGTCAAAAATTATAACTCAGAACGTTTTGCTTCAAATTTTCATGTAAAAGATCTGCAGATAGATTTGCGAAACCACAAAGACTCAATCATCATCATCTTATTTGAAGCACTCAAGCAAAGATTCCTCGAATATGGAATCACAAAAGGAAACCATGTCATCAATTTCCTCAGCATTTCCTTCCACCTTCACAATTGCCGGAGAATAACATGGCATGAGACAAGAGCCTTTCTGTCGTATCTATCCCATAAAGTTCACTAGGTATTCAATGGGCGAGTTGGATGCACTTTGGCTTCATTGTCCCGTGTTGGCCTCGACTTTAACTATTCGGTGTGTATATTTCAGCGCTTTAACAAGGTAAAATGGGTTTTGACTCCTGCCCCCTAACCGAGGAACACCCCAGATCAATCCTGAACTCATGAGCGATTCCTCCGACGAGCCATTGGATATCTGTACTGATAAAAATAATTATTGCCGCAGATCACCAGCGTGTTCAAGGTTGTGACTCAATGACTCCGTGTACTCCTCTTGGATACGTACAATGCATTTATTATGACGTTCAGTGTTGGAAGAGATCAATATTGACAAGGATCAGAAGAATGGTATGAAACCAATGTCAAATTCCATTGCGTTAGATGGTTGCCGGATATACAGAAAGAACAATACCTGAATGGATATTAGTGTGGGGAGAAATGACGTACAGCACCCAACGTCAACTCTCGATTACAACTCCCTCAAGGGTTCAATGAACATCCAGCGTCTTCGCTAGACTTCGTCACTATGCTCCAAATTCTACTTTTTCCTCAACTCTTGATCCGACGACTCCTACCCTCCTCGCGCGGGCTTCTCCAGGGCATGCGTGTCTGCACATCTGTTCAACCCCACTATCAAGATTATTCGTAATGGGTACCTCCTACATCACCTCTGAGAACAATTGGCCATGGCCTGAAAGAATAGAGTTCCTTCAAGCCTCCAGAGACCGCACATTCTTGATGGCTCCCTTGGGAATCAGCTACACACGTGGAGCCTTTCCCCCCGTTGATTCGCTGTCATTCTGCTCCGTACTTCCCATCATTGTTTGGTACCCTCGTTTGCTACTGCATTGTCCCAATCGAACTGAAGTACCAAGTAAACCTAGGAGTATACATCCTCTCCGGTTTGGTTTCCCAAATCCAAAAGCCGAAAGTATCTCATTAATAGGAATAATTTCAGGGAATCCATCTGACTTTGACATCACAGTCATCCAATAATCACCCTTCTCGATCTTCGCTTTAATAATCGTTTCGAAGAAGCGGACGGCCCAGTCCTGATCCGAATCCACTTCCAGAATCTTCAAGTCTTTCACTTTGCTTGCGAATCTCCTCATCATATCCTCTACATTTTTCTTGTCCTTTTCTCCCATCCTCATGAATGTGCGTGGATAGAGGTGAATCACTACAAGAACCTGCTTGTTCAACCTCTTCACGAATGTGCAAAGATCCCTCTCGTCCTTAACTTCGTATCTGGGCATCTAATAAGAGATCGGAGAAAGGAAAGGTGCCTTTTTTCCAACTCATTTCTATTTTCATCAGAATCTAGAATATAGCGAAGGGACCCCTGATATTTCCTTAATATATCTCTGCTCCTACTTCAACTAATTTCAATGAACTTGCTTCATGCATAGAGTAGTATGTTACCAAGCTCCTTAGAAAACTCATCTTAGGACATTCTGCCACCGTTAGGCAATAATGGTTTACAGGTAACGTTTTAAAAAAAAGTCCAACAAATGAAACGCATTGGAAATTCCGCTGCGTTCCGAGTAACGAGATTTCATCAGCATCCTCCTTAAACTACAGTGCGTAATAAAAATCCGTAGAACCTTAGAGGAAGGTTTCTGTACCGATACCCTCTGATTCCTCCCGTAATTAACTTGAAAACGGCTAGTCAGACTCATATGCAAGAAGAGGCTACTGCACAAAGGCGTTGAATGCAGTCTGAACGACATGCGAACAGAGCGACAAGAAGTAATGCTTAACTTTACTTACTTATACCAGGAATATGTTGAATTTTCTTCAGGCGAATGTCAAAGATGTCGTTCATTTTTATCTAAAATGGGAATGAATTGAAATTTTTCAAATGGAATACGAAAAATTAGAGGAACTAGGTAACTTTTGCGATGATAATATGAGCCAAAAACGTCGCAAAAAATGAAATCGTGATCGACTTCAAGAAAAATCCCTTCTTTATATTTTCAACCTGGGTTGGGGAAATCAAGTATTGATCGATAAAAAGAACTATGACTTACTTGCTATACGAGGTCTGGCAGTAAAGTTCCAGGACTGACTTTTGTGCGAGTCTGTCAATATCACAAAAATTATTTTCATTCCACGGACTGATAGATTAGAATGCTGGGCAGTGTTGTGTCAGCCCTCATCTGACTAACATCTTGAACGAGAGTCTGGCTGGCAATGTAGCAACTCAGTGTGTAAGGCGTCTGTCATATTCCCAGAGTGAAGCAATGCTTCATCACATTTTGTCTCAAACCGATCAATACAGCTGCAGTAATCCATGAAACGTTGCTGAAGTGTCTTGAAAAGTGCCTTGTTATGCTCCAATAAATTTGAATGACCTTCAAGGCCTTTAGCAAGCAGTGAAGACACTCGGATCCACCTCAACCCCAACCATCACCAACAATTCACCCAAGGGATGGCTGAATCAGTCATTATTTTCAATGTCATTTCTACTAGCTGAAAGCCTTGAAAACTATTCAATATTCTTGGAGTATGACGAGACAACTTGGCAAGACACTTCTTGCAACATTTGATGGATCGCTGCAGCTGTATTCCCGGATTGAGACAAAATGTGATGAAGCATTGCTTCACTCTGGGAATATGACAGACGCCTTACACACTGAGTTGCTACATTGCCAGCCAGACTCTCGTTCAAGATGCTAGTCAGATGAGGGCTGACACAACACTGCCCAACAGTCTAATCTATCAGTCCATGGAATGAAAATGTTTGTGATATTGACAGACTCACAAAAAATCAGTCCTGGAACTTTATTGCCAGACCTCGTAAGCAATCACTTGGTTTCGAAAGTAAATTTCCAAAATTAATTTTTTAGATTTTCAGGCAAAAAAATGCATGTTTTTCGAACGATCGCCCGAAAAAAAAAATTTTTCATTTGGGAGTGTGATATTTAAAAAAAATATGAATACATTTTTACGCGACAGATTTCAGTACAGGCATCATTTTTCCCACCGAACCGCCGTAACTGGGAGATTTCGGAGATGACAGTCAAGAGAGGTATGTGGATCAAGATGTATACTTTTTCTGTTGGAGACCTGCAGATCTGTCCTGTCGAAAGAAATTCCATTGTCTTCGGATTGAATTCCTACACCCGGGAAAGCAGAGAATGAATATGGAATGGAGAAAAAGGCTGAAATGCACCACATGCAGAATACATAAACAAGGAAATAAACTATTGAAATATTTTCGTGCTCAAAATGCATTAACTTGATTCTCTGAATATTCTGTGCGCAACTATGTGAAGCACATTTGCATGCGTTGAACATATTGAGGTAGTAATATTTCAAAACGATAAGTTTTCATTAAATTGCCTCTCATAATGTCATAGCAACTATGTAAATCGCACAGCTTCACCATGTAAACTTATTTAAATGTGGGAGATATAGGAATTAGAGAATACCGTTCTCGGCTGAGGTCGCTGAGGTCTCTGAGGTCGCTGAGGTCGCTGAGTTCGTGGAGGTCGTGGAAGTTGAGGTGGGGGCTGATGAATTGATGTCGACATCTGATCGAGAGGAGCGCCATCGTTAATGATTTGGTCACTGTTTTGAGGTTGGGTCCCCCCGACGCACAGCTGCTGGATGTCTTCTTTCTAAAATCACGCGCCAAGCTCTCATTTCCGATTTCTTTCAGGGAAAGGTAATGAGGCTGAAAAATGGAAATGTATAAGACACCTGAGCGCTCCATCTGCTAAGTTCTGCTGCAATATTGCGATTCCTTTCTTCTATCTCTCCCAGTGCCGACTGCTCCTTGTGGATTTGTGCCTGGAGTTCTTTTATCCGAGCCTCATGTTTCGCCTTCAGCTTCTCGTTCTTATCCAATTCCTCCAACATGTTCTTCTCGCGATCTCGCATCGTCTTTATCTGTCTCAAGCATGATAATCACTTTTATCAGGACCATTTATCCCTCCAGACATATTCTCATACACATGAAACCTTGAGGAACGCCTGTGTTTTAGGTCACATCAATCAAGGGTATGATTTACTATAGACTTTTAATGCTGGTTATCATCAAATTACAACGATAAACGGAAGCAAGATCGATAAATTTATATTAATGCAAAATTCGCACAAACATTTCACTAGCATTTACGCGAATCCAGGGTTCGATTTGGCAGGTAAGTTCACGCACCGTACCTCTCTGTTAGTTTTAAAAGTCTGCATGCAACAGTATGAAAACAATATTTGACAGATTTCTTAAGCATACTCATAGAGCTCGTACTTGAAGAGATGAATGAATTCGTTAATAAGGTAGCTAATTCTTGACTCAATATGAAATTAACTTATTCTCTTCGCAAAAGATGCATGTCATCCAACTCGTTCTAATTCGTAATGAAATGATTTTATAACCACTGTGCAACTGAAAGGATCTCGCATCTGCAATGCTTGCCTCCCAAGGTTAAAGGCGATAAAAGTAGATGCAAGGATGAATAGAAAGGAAACAAGAACTCGAGAAGCGTTGCGCATCCTTGACTATCTATTGTCACCTTGTATAACAGGGATTGATTTCTGAGGAAAAAACTAATGCCAAACATGTCCTTACCGCACATGAACCTAGGGAAAATAGAAAGTGGTGAAGCTCCTCGCGAAATTAGATCGTTATTAAATGCACTTAGAAAAACGATGCACGAGAAAAATCAGTCTGTCCTGGATTACCTTCGCAAATGCCATTACATTTCTTTTTTTTCGAACAATATTATGTCTCATGTGAAAAATGTAACTGAAAATGTCTTTTTGGGGGAATATATTTTGTTGAGGGAGAATAGCAAAGATCCCACAGAATGACACAGCTCTCTTACCGCTTTGATTACTGAGGGATCCATCGTCACTCCGCTGTTCAACCTGCAATGATCCAAAGCAATCTCATGGTGCCATTAATTACATACTCGCGTCCAAAAGAAACGTCGCAAGGTACTTTAGAGCTAGTTCGGATTGTAGGTGTTGTGATAGCAGTATGTCTGCCCCTTGCTGAGCAATTTACCATCGCCTTCAATAATTTAAAATGATTGAAGACGGAGAACGCATATTATTCATTACAGGTGGATATGAGATGGCTAAACGCCCTGCAAATGCCTCGATTCACTTTTCAAAGCTAAAAATATATTTTGCTTCAAAGTGAAATCGATTATCAAATCGAAACCTTCGTTGATTGAAAGGAGTTCTCTACGAGCCATAATTAGCACCATTATTGCACAATAAGGATTATTTATCCACATTATCCATAAGCATGCGGATCGAACTTGCGGCGTGGAAAGATTCTTTTTTTTTTACTTTTTTACGTGACCAGCTGCGGACCTTCCCCGAATCCCGTCAAAAACGCTATGAGTGTTCAGTGACTTACCGAATGACAGGAATGAAAGGCGAGGATGCGATTAAGGACGGGACAGGATAGGAGGCACACACCAACAGAGGCGAGGGCAGAGTGACCGAGTCTAGGAACCGCGTCATGGCACTTCGTATCTTAGCAACGAGCCCATGTAGTTACACAGGCCAAGTCGATCGCCGGTTCACTTGGTAACGCAAATTATTGTCTACTTCCACAAGATATGTCCGGCGTTCTAGCCTTTTCGCTCCACAAATGTTCATATCGCCCTCGTGACACTTTTCATTTACTTTTTCATTCGATCCAAGCGATATATGGTATCCTCTTTAGTGAAACGGTCCATAGCGTTACCAATCGGTAATAGATTATGAATGAGACAGAGGAAGGGCCAGACGGTCAAAGAGTGATGTGGGCTTTTGGGGTGAATTGCCACTGCCACCTCGACTGCTAACGGTCGATCGCTACTCGTGCATTTTCATTGCTTCTTAAATTTCAGATTTAAAAGGATGCTGATTTCTTTCAGGACCTTTTTTTTGTGTTTCGTCGTATTCTGTGATCCAAACAACTTTTTCAGAGAAACGTGATTTAAGAAATTGTGAACACCTTGAACTTGACGATCGCTTTGACAGGTTGTCAGAGAAACCGTCATGTGAGCCTTTTCATGCTACCAGGCCGAGATTTTCGAGTCATACCGTTCGACAATCTCAGAATGAAAAGATAATGATACATTTTCGCATCAAGGAAGATAACAAAAGAAGCAATTATAGATTATTCCGATTGGCTTGGGACGTGTGAATCTTTAAACTGTGAGGTTTACAAGCACATCCCAAGTAACACAGCATGTTGATGAAACGTTTCTGAAATGTTGCCTATGCTGCTCTATGTTGCAAGTTGCTGTACAACATTGAGAAAACATTCCTTCAATGTTTTCACTTGGAATGTTGCTGCGACACTTCTACGAATGTCACTGCAACATTTTCATGAAAGAATAAAATTCAAAAATGCAAATGTCACAAGTTAATGGAGGTATTTTTTCGAGAAGCGTCTCATCATAATTTCCTAAATATGATGAATTTTGAAACACTAACGAACCCATGACCTATCCCGGGAGAAAAGGAAGATGATAAAAAAGGAAGTGCGAAAAGTCCCCTTTTTCCATTCAGTTTCATGCCCTTTCCCAAGAATCCCAGAATGTGAAAACGCCAGTCGAATCTTCCATATTTGGAGATTTTGTGAAACTCCGTTTTCTCAAAGAGATCCTAACGATTTGCGTTGCATGTCATGGGGAAGAGTTTTGTTTGTTCCTTTTTGCAACGCAAGATTCAATTCGTTCTTGTCTGACTCCAGCACCTCTCATGGTGAAAGATGAAATTAGGTTGAGCTTCATGCAAATGACCAAATTTATCCTTTTAAAATAAAGAAAAATTTGGGATTCAAATGAACCTTTTTCGGGAACTAGAATGAGTCCGACGAAAGATTGGCCGAATCGAAATACGATTGTCACGAACGAAGAGAAATCAATCATTGGTTTCGCCTATTCCAGTCGATCGGCTGCTTGAGGCGACAATAACCTGATACCTGGAAGATTTTTGCTGGAATTTCGAAATTCCAGAAAAACCCTATAACGGCAAATCCTCCGGAGTTTTGTGAGAACTGCCTCAAGAGCCCTCTCTTCTCCCTCTTCCAATCACTTATGACTCCTTCAGCCGATGGAGTTAGGAAAATCCCTGCACATTCTTGCCAATCAGGGTTTTTCCGTTTTTTTTTGTGCATTTGGATGCGTACCCGTGGTTGCTAGTGTTGTCGGCAGTGAACACATCAGACAACAGTTGCCAACAATTGGCAACAATCCCGTAAGCAAAGAATGCAGACGTTTGCGAAATCTTTCCTTCATTCAATGAAGGATCGAACGCTTCATTTGAATCTCCTAACAGGGACCCAATGGAACAGCGCTTTCGAAAACGCTTTGCTGACTGGATTTTGTTCTTGCGCGCCAGCAATAACTGACTAGAAACATGATAAATCGATTTGACCATGGGTGCCCAAAGGGAATTTTTAAACGAGGAACTTCCTGCTTGGCTTCCGTGGGCGGAATATCGGGTGCCGATTGTTGCCCATCGGCCGCTCTTGAATTTTTGTTGCAGTCTCGATGTAAAATCGATCTCGTGTTTGAGATTAACCTAGAACTGTAACATTTCTATTTCCGAATTTAGCGCCTGTAATATTGTTGACTTGGGAAAGCTTCTGGGCGTTCATTTTAATCGAAACAGAAAAGGCTACAAATAATTAGTGATCAACTGATTTGCAGGAGACCGCCATACAAGGCAGCATCGTGGAACGTCGTGCTGCCAGTTTTCCATTATTGGCTTTGCAAAGTCAAAGTTCAAGTATGTGCGAGCACGATGCATTGCCGATACGCTAGGCCATCTAGTGAATTACTACCAGGAAGATCATGATGAAAAAAATTGAAGGAAATTAACAGTCAATTAAATTTATTTCAAAAAGAATTGCAAGAAAAATAAATAAATAATCTTGGAATCATCTCATACAAAGTTTATACAACACTCTAAGGAATAAGTTATATTGCTACCGATACAGACTGCAACAGGAATTAAACTAAGTGAAGTTCACATCTTGACCTTTCAAAGGAAAGGCAGCCCAAAGTTTGGTCGCCCGAAGCCAGGTCGCCGGAAGCCATATCGCTCGAAGCCTTGTCGCCCGAAGCCAGGTCGCCCGAAGCCTGGTCGCCCGAAGCCTGGTCGCATGAAGCCAGGTCGTCCAAAGCCTGGTCGCAGAAAGCCTGGTCGCCGGATGTTCAGTCTCCTATAACCAGGTTTCCCAAAGCCGGGACCCACAAAGCCAGGTCGCCGCCTTGTCATAACTTCAACAATCTCGGTACTTCCAGGCGTCTGAACGTCGATTTCTTCATTGCCTTTACGGCCGAAGCCCGGTCTCCTTAAGACAGATCGCACACTTGTCTGCAGGTCGACCATCTCCGTACTTCCGGGCGTCTGTACGTCGATTTTTTCATGGCCTACTCGGCCAAAGCCAAGCCGTCCAAAGCCAGATC